ACTATAAGTGTTTTTCTATGTACCAACACTGATTTTAGAGTCATGAAACAGAAAAAAAAAACTAGAAAACTGGAAGGATAGAAGGCAAAATTGAAATAAAATTTGTTCTTTTAAGAGACAACAACAAAAACAAACATGAAAAAAGAGCAAAGAAAAAAGAGGAACCGTTCCCGTGTTTTGTACCCTTCCATATCCAATGTACTCTACTTTTTCTTTCATTTATAGTCCCCCCCGTCCTCCCTCCCAAAAAAAAAGAAGAGAGGAAAAACAGTAACTCAAAGCTGAAAAAAAGTTCAAATAAATGACAGACAAAAAACAAGGAAAAAATCAAGTAACCTTTTTTTCAGTTCCAAAAATTTCAACAAAATTTTTTTTCCTTGTTGTTGTTTTGAACAAAAATTGACAAGAAAAAAAAAAAAAACCCGGAGAAAACGACGACGACGACGACAACGACGACGAGGACGGCAATGTTGAAGAAGAAATGTTTTTATCAAAACAGAAAAAAAAAAAAGCACTTTTTCCATTTTGTTTTCAAATTCTTTTACCTGTAATAAAAATTGTCTCAATTTTTCATCACTTTTTTTTTCTTTTCCAGTTTTTTTTCTTCTTCTTCTTATTTTCTTTTCCTGTTTATAAAAATTACGGGAAACCCTTTATAAACATTGATAAATAAGCAAGAACAGAAAAAAAAACTGGTTTACATGACCCCTAATAGATGAAAGATCAAATATGAAAAAAAAAGACAGTAAAAAGTAATAAGCAAATTCTTGACAAACTAAAAATCAGTAGAACAAAAGTAAAAAAACAAAAAATTTAAAACAAAAATTAAAAACAACAACAACAACAACAAAAGAAAAAGTGAAGAAGTTGACACCATAAAACTATTGAACATTTATCGACTTGTCGACAATAGCAAAAATAAGCAAAAACTTCCCAACTTTTGCAGCTTAATCATTACAAAAAAGACCAAAAAAAAAAAAAATAGTGGTGCAAAAAAAAGAGCA